ACAGCTCATTGTATTATTACAGCTCATTGTATTATTACTGCTCATTATATCATTACAACTCATTGTATTATTACTGCTCATTGTGTCATTACAGCTCATTGTATTATTACTGCTCATTGTGTCATTACAGCTCATTATATCATTACAGCTCATTGTATTATTACAGCTCATTGTATCATTACAGCTCATTGTATCATTACAGCTCATTGTATAATTGCAGCTCAGCATATCATTAGATCAGGGTTGCAGTTTCTGAGCAGGTTTACATAAATACAGTGTATTCCATGGCACCCTACACCCATTGCACTGCTTTGATGGTCTGCAGAAGTAATGACCACAATGAAGTGGGAACACTACCACTGAAACACTGTGTTTCCTGAAGCGGTGGATCCATGTTGGTATCCAGTGTCCGAAGTGCAGTTCTCAGCTGTGTGTAGATGAGGTGGTGCTGGTTCAGCTGGTGAAATCAGGAGTGTTTGCAAAGTGTCACAGGCATGTATGTACGTAGCGGGGAATGTGGTGCGACTAAAAGAAAGACTACCCACTTATCCCCCCAATAATGACAGACAATGCATATTGGATGAAACATGGCACAGCATTTATTAAAACTTACAACTGTAGGACACATCTGAACTTTATTCTTTTCCTTTAATTCAAATATAAATAAACACATAAATATATATATACATACCATAATTAACATATAAATTAACACTTAGTGCCCTACAGCCTCCAACTTAAATAACTGTCCTTGCCAACGAACTTAACCAGGTGCCTATGCACCAAAAACTTTACCCACTGGTGTCTCACCTCCCCCCTCGTCCAAACCAAAAATTCCCATCATCTTAAATGCTCTGCCACCAGCTGGCTCTTAGCTCGGTGGGCACGTCCTATTCAGGGCCGTCTTTAATAACGAATGGACCCTGGGCAAGTGTTTGCTTGGGCCCCCTGTGCCCTGCCGCTCTCGCCCCTCACTCCCTGGTATGCAATCACGGCATCCATCCCAACGCAGTGGCGGTACTAAAGTAGAATGAATTTTATTGGGACCCCAATTGCAAGGTTGGACTAAAGGTAGAACCCCATCTGTCGTGCAACTCCAACAATGCTTTGACAGCTGGGACTCTACCAATTTCCCATGCTTGCAGGGTTGTATTTAGCACTGAGCCATGTTGGTATGTTTGAATGTAAGCATGTGTTTGTATGGAGTATGTTTGTGTGAATGTGTTTGTATGTGGTACTGGAGTTTGAATGCAAGTGTGCATTTATGTGTAGTGTTTGTTTTTGAATGTAGGAGTGTGCTTGTATGTAGTGTTGACGTTTCAATGCAGGAGTGTGTTTTATATGTAGTGTTGAAGTTTGAATGGAGGGGTGTATTTGTATTTAAAGTTGCGGCTCAGATGCACAGGTACACACTCTGATGCACAAGCAGATACACAGATACATACACTGACTACATACAGATAAACAGGCACATACACTGACAGACACACTGACACAGGTACATATATTGACACACACACAGACACATACACTGGTAGGCGTACTGACAGACATACTGACACAGGCACATATACAGACATACTGACACACAGACACATATACCGACATACTGACACACACACACACACATACACTGATCAACATACTGACACACATACACTGACAGAAATACTGACACCCACACACTGACAGATATACTGACACCCACATACACTGAGAAATACTGACACACACAGGCACATACACTGACACACACAGACTGATATACTGACACACACACACAGACATACTGGCACACAGACAGATATACTGACACATGCATACACATGCACTAACAGACATACTGATGCACTGACAGACATACTGACACATACACATACTGACACACACAGATATACACACACATATATACTGACACACAGACAGACAGACATACTGACACACACACACAGACATACTGACACACACACAGACATGCTGACACACACACACATACACTAACACACACATACACTACCACACAAACACACACACTAACACACATACACTAACACACACTAACACACACACACTAACACACATACACATACACTAACACACATACACACACACTAACACACATACACACACACTAACACACATACACTAACACACAAACACACACACTAACACACATACATACACTAACACACACATACACTAACACACAAACACATACACTAACACACACATACATACACCAACACACAAACACTAACACACAAACACACACACACTAACACAAACACATACACTAACACACACATACACACATTTTTTTTTTTTTAAATGTAATCCCCCCAGCCTCCTTACCTTTTGGAGTGCTGGGGGGATTCCCTGGGGTCCAGTGGTGCTGCTGGGCTCCTGGGCGGGTGGCCGGTCGGGCGGGCAGGAAGGCGGGCGCGCGAGGGAGCACTCACTGCTTCCTCTTCAGCTCCCTCGCGCGCCGCGTAGGGATGCCGGCGCCGGAAGATGACGTCATCTTCCGGCTCCGGCATCAGTGCGGTGCGCGAGGGAGCTGAAGAGGAAGCAGTGAGTGCTCCCTCGCGCGCCCGCCTTCCTGCCCGACCGCCACCCGCCCGCCGGGGTCAGCGGGGCCCACGGGGCAGGTGCCTCGGGCCCCCCAAGAGAAACTGGGCCCGGGGCAGCTGCCCCGTTTGCCCCGCGTTAAAGACAGCCCTGGTCCTATTCGGTAACTTACCTTACAGAGCAGGGGAGGGTGAGACCCACCATGTCCATCTCCTGACATTCCATCTGCTCCCCAACCCTGTTGGCAAGGACACGCTCCCCGCTAGCTGTGACAAAACAAAAACAGAAAATTAGGGTGGGTGGGAGGGAAGGTGTTTGCTGGCCAGAATCCCAAAAGGCACTGAGGTAAGGTGATCCATGCCCCACTACAAACCCATAACCACTCCCCTAAACACATATAGCCACTCCCCATACACATACAGCCACTCCCCTAAACACATATAACCACTCCCCTAAACACATACAGCCACGCCCCTAAACACATACCGCCACTCCCATATACACATACAGCCACGCCCCTAAATGCATATAGCCACGCCCCTAAACACATATAGCCACTCCCCTAAACACATACAGCCAATCACTAGCACCGTCCCCACACTCATACATGTGCCCTTGCCCGTTTAGCTATGCTGACTCCCCAGGGCCTGATTCACCAGATGAGTGTGACTGGGCGATGGCAAGGTTGGTGTTTGTGGTGTAGCAGAGGAGGGAGCTCCTGGTTACATTGTAGCTATATGTGGCATTGAACCCCAAGAGCCTTGGATGACTTAATTCCAGGACTACGTTACCAGATCTTTAACTAACTGTATTTAAAAGCTGACAGCGAGACTCTCTCATTAATGAAGCATTTCCTTTATATACAGGCTTGGCTAGGGGGAGCTTTATTTATATACAGGCGTGGCTAGGGGGAGCTTTATTTATATACAGGCATGGCTAGGGGGAGCTTTATTTATATACAGGCGTGGCTAGGGGGAGCTTTATTTATATACAGGCGTGGCTAGTGGGAGCGTTATTTATATACAGGCGTGGCTAGGGGGAGCTTTATTTATATACAGGCGTGGCTAGAGGGAGCTTTATTTATATACAAGCGTGGCTAGAGGGAGCTTTATTTATATACAGGCGTGGCTAGGGGGAGCTTTATTTATATACAGGCGTGGCTAGTGGGAGCTTTATTTATATACAGGCGTGGCTAGGGGGAGCTTTATTTATATACAGGCGTGGCTAGGGGGAGCTTTATTTATATACAGGCGTGGCTAGTGGGAGCGTTATTTATATACAGGCATGGCTAGGGGGAGCTTTATTTATATACAGGCGTGGCTAGAGGGAGCGTTATTTATATACAGGCGTGGCTAGGGGGAGCTTTATTTATATACACAAGTGGCTAGGGGGAGCTTTATTTATATACAGGCGTGGCTAGGGGGAGCTTTATTTATATACATGTGTGGCTAGGGGGAGCTTTATTTATATACAGACGTGGCTAGGGGGAGCTTTATTTATATACAGGCGTGGCTAGGGGGAGCTTTATTTATATACAGGCGTGGCTAGGGGGAGCTTTATTTATATACAGGCGTGGCTAGGGGGAGCTTTATTTATATACAGGCATGGCTAGAGGGAGCGTTATTTATATACAGGCGTGGCTAGGGGAGCTTTATTTATATACAGGCATGGCTAGGGGGAGCTTTATTTATATACAGGCGTGGCTAGGGGGAGCTTTATTTATATACAGGCACGGCTAGGGGGAGCTTTATTTATATACAGGCGTGGCTAGGGGGAGCTTTATTTATATACAGGCGTGGCTAGGGGGAGCTTTATTTATATAAAGGCGTGGCTAGGGGGAGCTTTATTTATATACAGGCATGGCTAGGGCGAGCTTTATTTATATACAGGTGTGGCTAGGAGGAGCTTTATTTATATGCTGGCGTGGCTAGGGGGAGCTTTATTTATATACAGGCATGGCTAGGGCGAGCTTTATTTATATACAGGTGTGGCTAGGGGGAGTTTTGGGGGCTGAAATCCCAGCTGTTTGCCTCTGTAGCTGGGATTTCCAGCGTTGGTTAGATTTTCCCTGCCATTTTAAACCTGGTCACTGCTTTAAAAAAAATAAAGATTAGCATAGTGTCCACCAGAAAACAAAAAGGGCAGGGTACCCTCAAAAAGGGGAACCTGCACAAAAGTGTGTCTGGGCGACCACAAAAGGGGATAACCCTCACATATACGTGTAAGAAGAAGACAGATAAGACCCACAGGGTCAAAATTGGGAAGCCCCCTGATGAAATGATATGTGTATAAAACGTAACTTTTAATAAGGAAATTTAAAACCGTCCATATAAATAATCAAAAATAAATTAAAATTAAAAATCAAAAAGGTTTGAGAAAATAGGGAGACCAGAGAGAAAATAAATGAAAAATAAAAAATAAATAATAAATAAATCAGCCTCAGAAGAAGGCGCGTTTCACAGCGCCGAAACACATGTTAGGCAGGCAGAAGGCAGGGAGACCAGTTAGTTTCGTTTCAATCTTAGTCATTGGTAGATTTGGAGGAATTTCTTTGGCGTTGTGGTTGGGTGTTTAGGGCTTTTCCAACGAGTCTTTAGCTATCCTAAGGCAGTGGGGAACACAATCTGGCGTGTGGGGGGTCTTTTACTTGAAGTGGATATTAGGCGAGGTTACTTTGTACCTCTCTTTTCACAATCGTATCGACATCCTCCACATTCAGATACTTTTTGTATCGCAATTCAGATACTATGTAGCCGTGTATCCACCCAGAGCCTCCTAAATAGCAGCTCCAGCCATTACTACATTACCAGACTGAGATATGAATGCAATGGGGGGGGGGAATAAGAGACATATTCACTTATATGACCTTAGAGCTAGAAGCCATTTGCTTATAAGGTATCTTTATATACCCCCTGCATTACTTTCCATTTATTTTTCATTTATTTTCTCTCTGGTCTCCCTATTTTCTCAAACCTTTTTAATTTATTTTTGATTATTTATATTGACGGTTTTAAATTTCCTTATTAAAAGTTACGTTTTATACACATATCATTTCATCAGGGGGGCTTCCCAATAGTGTCCGCCAGCCCTTGTAGGGGGAGTGGGCGATGTCCCAGATGACAGGTAGTGGTGTTGGGAAACAGATCTTTACTGCAAACCCCTCTGTTAGTTAGGTAACATGGCGGGTTCGCATTGAATACCTGGCACACAGTATGTGCTTATTCCAGCTTTCACTGAGATCCTGCAGAGGTGGTTCACAGGTTTCAAGGAGGGAATATAACATAGAAGGCGGGATATGTCATGATATATCTCTGTGTTCGGGTCACAGAGTTTTCCTTGGGCTCAAGCAAGGTATTTCAGAATCAACGCCATGGCTGACTTGAGCCACCATCTTCCCAAGGTACGATCGCTGAGTGCATCTTTCCTATATCACCGTGTGAACGCAGGTCTGATATCCACATAACTAAGCATTCTCCAAGCATTTTAATCTAGTAACAAATAAATATATTCCACTGAAAGGTTATTCCATGATTCTGTAACTCTAAAAGAGGAATGCAACACGGCCCGCTTCTACTCCAAAACGTAGCGAGGAACGCAATGTATACGGAGAGATTCAAACTGGTAGAGAAACAACTGGATCATTTAACTCCATATTACTGAGACGTGTGACTCCTGGTCCCATTGTACAGTGCTACGGAATTTGCTGGCGCTATATAAATAATAAAATAATAATAATAATAATGTATCCTCACATGTTCTTAATGCACACTGTACTGATAAGCACTTACATATGGGAGCATTTTATCTCGTGATGACAGACAAATATCTCCTATAATTCATTGTGTGGTTCCTGATTGCATTAAGCAGCTTGTTACTGTCACAAACTGTTACAAGTGTATGATATATAACCTCCTACAGCTAACTGGACAGGGTTTTTAAGATAAGTGAATGCAGATGCCTTGAAGAAAGGAGATATTTTGTCTCAAATTTTGTTCTGCATCACCTGTTTATCTGTCATCGCAGGCCTATGTCATGATACGGCCATTTAACCTGCAGAAGATCACACATAGCTTATTGCATGAAAAAGCTGCAAGAATATGTCAAACTACAGATTTGCTAACCTTCTGGCATGTAATGTGACCGAGGGTTGGATGTGTAGGGACAAGCAGAGACACCGATGTTTGTGTTTCCAAGATGTTTTCTAAACTACAAGGACTTAAAGGCCTGTACTGTTCATGTACTGTATAAATCCGTAAACAGACTGATTGACCACACTGACAGACTGACTGACCACACAGAAAGGCTGAATGACCAAGCTGACAGACTGACCATGTTAACAAACTGACTGACCACGCTGACAGACTAACTGACCAAGCAGGCAGACTGATTGACCACACAGACAGACTGAATGACCAAGCTGACAGACTGCCCACGCTAACAAACTGACTGTCCATGCTGACAGACTGACTGCCCACGCTAACAATGACAGACTGACTGACCACGCTGACAGACTGAATGACCACACAGACAGACTGAATTACCACGCAGACAGAATGACCACGTTAACAAACTGGCTGACCACACTGACAGACTGAATGACCACTCTAACAGACTGACTGACCACACAGACAGACTGAATGACCATGCTGACAGACTGACTGACCACTCTAACAGACTGACCATGCAGACAGACTGACTGACCATGCTTACAGACTGACTGACCATGCAGACTGACTGACCACACTAAAAGACTGACTGACCATGCAAACAGACTGACTGACCACGCTAACAGACTGACTGACTAGGCTGACAGACTGACTGACCACACTAACAGACTGACCACGCAGACTGACTGACTGACCACACTAACAGACTGACTGACCACGCAGACTGACTGACCACACTAACAGACTGACTGACCACGCAGACTGACTGACTGACCACACTAACAGACTGACTGACCACGCAGACTGACTGACTGACCACACTAACAGACTGACTGACTAAGCACACTAACAGACTGACTGACCACGCAGACTGACTGACTAAGCACACTAACAGACTGACTGACCATGCAGACAGACTGACTGACCACGCTAACTGACTGACTACACTAATAGACTGACCACGCAGACTGACTGACTGACCACACTAACAGACTGACTGACCACGCAGACTGACTGACCACACTAACAGACTGACTGACCACGCAGACTGACTGACCACGCTGACAGACTGACCACGCAGACAGACTGAATGACCATTCTGACAGACTGACTGACCACTCTAACTGACTGACCACGCAGACAGACTGAATGACCAGGCTGACAGACTGACTGACCACACTAACAGACTGACTGACCACGCAGACTGACTGACTAAGCACACTAACAGACTGACTGACCACGCAGACTGACTGACTGACCACACTAACAGACTGACTGACCACGCTGACAGACTGACCAGCCACGACCACGCTGACAGACTGGAGTGCATCGAGGGGTATATTCGTCCTTGTCTGTGGGGTGTGTTCCATACAGGAACTGGGCATGGTCAGGATGTGCTGGTGTGAGGTAGGCCCCGACTTTGCGTTTTCGTTGATGAGCTTTGGGTTGTGTAAAAAGGGCATTGATCGATGCAGCTGGGGTCCCTGAGTCTGGACCTGGTAATGAAAATACTGGATGCCTGCATATTTCGTGAATTTGGGCCAGATTGTATAGAGCAAGTGGGAGCTGTTGTAAATGGTGTCTGGTCCGTCTCAGCGTCAAGCTGAAAGTGACACACAAAGGCCCTGGGGCTAAGATACACACAAAAGGGGCTGGGGGAAGAGACATATAGAGGGACTGGAAGGAAGTAAGATACACACAAGGGGATATGAAATTCAAAAAAGGGGTTAAGAGAAACACAGGTGAAGATGCTTTTATACAATGAGCTGTAATTGTACAATAAGCTGTAATGATACAATGAGCTGTAATAATACAATGATATGTAATAATACAATGATATGTAATGATACAATGAGATGTAATGATACAATAAGCTGTAATAATACAATGAGATGTAATAATACAATGAGATGTAATGATACAATACGCTGTAATAATACAATGAGATGTAATAATACAATGAGATGTAATGATACAATGAGATGTAATGATACAATAAACTGTAATAATACAATGAGATGTAATGATACAATAAGCTGTAATAATACAATGATATGTAATAATACAATGATATGTAATGATACAATGAGATGTAATGATACAATAAGCTGTAATAATACAATGAGATGTAATAATACAATGAGATGTAATGATACAATACGCTGTAATAATACAATGAGATGTAATAATACAATGAGATGTAATGATACAATGAGATGTAATGATACAATAAACTGTAATAATACAATGAGATGTAATGATACAATAAGCTGTAATAATACAATGATATGTAATAATACAATGATATGTAATGATACAATGAGATGTAATGATACAATAAGCTGTAATAATACAATGAGATGTAATGATACAATAAGCTGTAATGATACAATAAGCTGTAATGATACAATAAGCTGTAATAATACAATGAGATGTAGTGATATAATAAGCTGTAATAATGTAAGAAGCAGTGATTATAAGATAAGGTGTAATAGAGAGAGGCCAGCAGGTTCCCTCACAATACAAGAGTGTGTCCCTCAGGCCAATCTCTTCTGAATCCTACTTCCTCCTGATTCCATCACTGTTTGCAGGGGGGTCTGGAAGCTTTGGCCTGGGGTACAAGAACAAATGAATGGTCTTCTCTGCACACAAAACTCATAAATCCTGGGAAATATCCCAAAAGGTCAGTCCTGACCTTGAAACCTACGCACAAACTCACACAGTACTGAGGTAGCGGAGTCCCTGCACAATTCCTGCCTCCCCCCCCCCCCAATGCAGGCATCTCAAAGCAACCCAGCTGCATTTAATTTAAAAAAAAACCGGATCTGTGAGGCTCTGGTCTACAACCTCTGTATGCTAGTCACCAGAGACCATTGCCTCCTGGCCAGAAGAATCATGTAGTGTCTGCTGTACAATCTGGCTAGTGGACACAAGTTCAAAACATTTCTGACATGTCACGTGTCGATGACTGATTCTAAACGTTTAATCGTAGACCAAGTATTTAACCATTTAACAATGTTTCTACACGTTTAGTGAACTTAACAAAGTGCCATAAAATCAGAAGGATGCATATTCCTTCATCTCTGAATCACTGGAGTAAGTTACTAGAATCTCCTTAATTTTATCTGGAAAAGGCAGCGGTTGCTAGACAGGTGCCATTAATTTGGAGGTACCCATTGAAGGATTACCAGTAGACTTGGCTTCCACAGGCGCTATGGATCAGACATTGTTTAAATTTCCTATTGTCTCCATTGCTGAATGTTCATTTATTTTTTCACAACTTGAAGTGGGAATCCGTGAGCTTCTGCAAATCGGTTTAAAGAGTTTTGTTCAAAGTTAAGTGGTACAGCAATCTTCTGAAACGGCAAATCATTAGATGGACCAACCGTGGCTTTAATTAGCATCACGTTTAACAGAGCTTAGTTTGGGACACACACGTTGCGGGGATGAATAAAATTCACAATGGTTGCTTTTGGAGAAGAATAGGATCTTCAGGCAAAACAGCTAAGTGCTT